TTGTTGGCATAGGTATTACTTTTGAGCTTGTTATCATTTATTGGATGAACAAAAGGAGATGCCCACTTCCTCCATAAACCTCTTGTGGTACCATGTTCTCTTCCCCCCTCCCCTCTTTCTCTCTCTCTCTCTCTCTCTCTCTCTTGTGGTGCCATGTTCTCTCCTCTTCCCTCTCCCTCTCCCTTCCTCTTCGTTTAATCAAGCGTGTGAAGCATTTAATAAGTTTGAGCTTTAAAACTTCATTATAACGTGATTTTAAATCGTATATGTACAATGCAATTCCATTGCATTACAAACTCATTGGTCCTTGTGATGTAGAGGACGGTAGTCTATGCATCTCTAATTGAAAAAAAAAATACTTAGATCATTTCTAATGAAAACTCAAACTCTTACATAAATTTAAGTAAAAAAAATAGTAAAAACTTATTTGGTATATACCTCTCCAATGGAGAATTTTAAATTTAAATAAAGAGAAATTCAAATTTAAATGAGGACAAACTCATATTTAAAAGAGGGTAAAATATAACTATTAAGTCTTTAAAGGACGGTCAAATCTCACCATTAAAGATTTGAATATAGGTTTGAGTCTCCTCTAAATTGATTAAAAAAAAATTAGTCTGTCCTTTGATTTGATATGAGTATGAGTCTAACATTAAAGAAAGTTTTTAGGAGTTTTTTACTTAAATTTAAATTTGAGTTTTAAAAAGGTAAAGATCGGAGATGCGCTTAGTACATCAGTGGTAGAAGAAATCCTCTGTATCCTACATTCCTTATCCTAGTATGGTTCCCGTACGAGGACATTCGAGATTAAGGAGATGGATTCTAGTGATCCATTCCCACATTGTTTGGTGAAGGGTGTGTGAAATATTTCATAAGTTTTCGCTTCAGACTTTCACTGCACACCGTGTTTGATTTAAAATAGTACAAACTAACTAAAAAGCAAATAATATTGTACAATGTGATTTTAAAGCATCACTCTCTATTATACTCCTTGATTACTTTAGTGGTAAATGAACTCAAGAACTTCTTACGTGTTACTTGGTTACGAGTGTTAAAAAATACCTAAAAAAAGACTCTTGGAAGTGAAAGATTTTCTTTTTGGTAGTAATGACAATAAGAAATGTCTCCTAATCTAGTGAAAAAAAAAGCCATAAGAAGAGTGAGTTTGTAAACTCTTTTTGAGCCAGAATTATGACATTTCCTCTCCATCTCTAAGTGGTGAATTGGGTGTAAATCAACAAGTGTTCAACTGTCAAATAATGTGGTCATATTCCATTACTAAACCAGACAAAGCCAAGGTAAGTCACATGGGGGAGATAGATGCTCTAGTCCACACCTCATGAGAAGGGACATTGTAAATTAGAGTGATGTTGATGGAAGATTGCTTGTCAAATTGCCCAAAAGAAAATCAGAAAGAACCTGCTTCAACTCTACACCACTTTTCTTTCCAATTGCATACACACCCTCCCACATCACCTATGGGGTAAGTTACACTTTGCCCATTCTCACATTGTTCACTCAATTATTGAATTGTTCATATTGTCTCTCAACCGTTTAAATTGGTTTCACTTCTCCCAAAAAATCAAACCAAGAGCATGTACGTGTATGCCTTTAACTTTTAGGACAAAGTAAAGCAAAACTATATATTCCAAGAGATAAAATGATACAATTTTCTCATTTGTTTGTAATAGTCGCTTAACATTAGGATAGTATCAGACCAACGACCATAATTGAATCTGCGAATATGAGAAATATGATAGTGAGAAGACAATGTAAGACACGAAAGTCATAGTTAAAATAATCAAAGTACAATTTGCTGACCTAATTAACCGATTTGGGCTTAAGTTAGCATACACAGGAGTTAGACTAGGACAGTGATGACTGTTATTACTTTTGGCTAAATTGTCAAGAAAAATAGAATTGCTCACCCTTATATGATGAAAAGGTGAAGAACTATGGAACTTCATTGCTTTTTTACCAACTGATTACTTGTTCTTCTTTTGCTGAAATGAGAACTGTTTCCTTTACACAGACAATTCAAACAAAATCAAAAGAACATTCACCAACTGAATCAAAAGGCTGTACGGAAGAGGTCAATCTAACGAACTACATGCTCTTCATTTACCGACCTAAAAATATTGGGAGAAAACTTTGTTAAGATGAGATGACGATTTTCATTTTCACCCCTAAAATTCATTTGAAAAAAGAAAGTCTTCTAGCACTGCAGGATATAGTAATACTATTTAACCTTTTTTTTTTGGTTCAACGATCAGAGGTATTCAGACTAATTTTATGTGCACCTCGACTAATTTTTTCTGTAGTCTGGTAAAAGATAGACTATTCACGTTGAGATTAGGGTATTCATGAAAAATAAATCTCTTATGACTTGCCTCTAAGAGGTTGTTAAGATTCTAACTTAAAACGTTTGGATCTATGGTTCGTGCTTATTACCACTTAAGTTACTCCTTGGGGTTGACAATTTAACGTATTTGCCTCTTTTCAGATGTGCAACCAAAAATTCAACACAAACCCGTAAATGACACGACCCGTTAACACGAATAATAAATAGATTGGGTTAGTGTCAAATATGAATAACACGAAATTGACACGATTAACTAATATCATAGAAATAAAATTTTAATTATTTGTTATTGTTTATTAAGTATTGACATAATTATTTTATAAAATAGACATTTTTACTCATTATTAGTGTTATGTTTATTAAGTTAATTTATAATTTATAAAAAAAGTATGAGCATAAATTCAATTAATTTATAATAGAATTTTAGACTTAAATTTCAGCGTTAAGTTTTTTATTCGAATTTTGTATAGGTTAACATGAATACAAATACGAACTCGACACCAAAATAAATTAGTTTGTGGACACAATACGGTCAACTAAATAGGTTGAATTAATGTTGATTAATGTTCGATATGAACCCATAATAACACTGTTAAAAAATATAGGGTTACTGATTATTTTGTTTATTAAAGGTAGAATAATAATTTATTTTCTCTTTGTTTAGCTTATATATAATCTCTTTGTATTTAAATTAAATCACTTCTTTATATTCAATTGAATTATCCGATATCAATAAAATCTCAGCCCCTCTTTTTTATCTGTTATATTCCTCTTCTATTAGATTGTTTAACAAACACAGTACAAATTCGATCCCACCCGATATGACACAAGAATGACACCCTATCACATAGTGTTCCCTTCCCAAACACCACCACCCGGGGGAGGCGGTGGAATTTTTTGTGCTAAGGTAGCACCGACAACGCCGACTTTGCCAGTAAAATAGGCTTTACAATTGAAGACAAGACAAGAAAAGAAGAATGGAGCCAGACACTACACAGTCATTTTAAAAATAAAAGAATGGAAGTTCTCATTTTAAATACATTATAAACTAAAAATATATTAATTGGAGAAAGGAGATAATATTTAAAAAATAAAACTATACTTTAAAATTCTACTCCTAATCTTAGAATCAAGGGCAGAGCCAACATTTCACATTAGAGGGGGCATACTATGATCGAAAAAATTTTCACCGAAAAAAATATTTTAGAATTCAACTTTTTCGTCTAGAGATGAGGGCTTCAGCTCATTCATTGGTTTACCGAAAACACCTTTAAAATTTTAATTTAAACAAAATATAAATAAAAAATCATAAAATAACCTTTGTTTAGTATATTTTAACTCAATCACATATTAAAATAGAAGACAGTGTTATTTCAAATCTTAAAATTTGTCCATAATGAATTGAACAATTTTTTTAGTAATTTTCTTCAATGTATAAAATCACATTATACGTGATAAAATTATTATTCATTTTATGTTGAGAAATCTAGTTAAAATCACCATTTATTTGTCGATGTACTCAATCCATAAACTAAAACATTGATTTTTTTTTGGAGGGGGTTAATGGGTCACTAACTTATCAAAAATTGAAAAAAAAAAAAATTAGGACTATTGTAAACATTTTCAAAAATTAAAGGAGACAAATGTATTAAAATAACCAAAACTATCATCCTGAACAATAGTATTCAAAAAGTCAGGGGAAGTGCCCACCCTTCTTCCTATGCGGCTACACCCTTGCTTAGAATATAATCAACACAATACCATAAGATGATCTATTGTTTTGGCCAAAACAATAGGGAAACTCCTTGGAATTTAAGAAATAACTGGTCAAAATTCATACTTGAAGATACGATATAACAAAAAAATCGAGCGTCTAAAAAATTGATTCCACTATATCAAATAATTAATATTTTTAAAAAATAAAATTGTCAAAATTTTCTCAAATTACATGATTTAAACAAAAATAGTATTGTATATGAACAATTTTTAAAATAAGAATTATGTTGAATCATAAATTAATCAAAAATTAAATAATTTAACTTATGATAAAAAGGAGTGATATGATAAAAATAAGCTGAAAAAATATGTGGTGATAAAATTTAAATTGTTAGCTATCTTATTATATAGAAAATTATTTTTAAAAAATAAAATTGTCCAAATTTTCTCAAAATTCATGATTTAAAAAAAAAAACATGTATACAGTGCTATCATATATGAATAATTTCTGAATTAAAAAATTATATTGGGTCATATATTAATCAAAAATTAAATAATTCAACTTAAGTTAAAAATGATAGACATCAGCAAATGGATGGTATTGTTCTAATGTAGTCAAAATGTAGAATCTTTAATCTAAGTTTAAGGCTAATAATACACTGCCACTAATCCTCTTAATGTCAGCATGCCACGTCATCATATTATGTCCCTTTTAGACATTATAATCAAGGTTAGGGTCAGAAAGGTAATTCCAAATAACAGCTGGAACCTCAAACCATTGATGTGGCGATATGTAATTGGTGACTGCAAGAATTGTAGAGAGAACCAGGGTGATGACACTGTGTAATGATGGAACATTCCCTTTTAAACCACCATCATTAGTCCACCAAGGGATCTTCCAAACTCATTGGAGAATAAAATCACTTTTCATTATTCAGTGGCCTTTTTTTTTAATGCGGAGAGAGAGAGAGTGAGGGGGGTGGGAGAAGAGCAGTGGTAGAAGACAAAAAAAGCTTTCCATCAATCAACACAAAGCTGCAAAAATCATGTTACCTGCCCTCTGAGTTAATTTCTGGATTTGCTTTTTCTGGGGTCTCTCTGGGGTCTCTTCGATTTATTTATAGAGATAATGGGTATTCAACCAAACCCCAGAAGTTTTTCCTGACTTGGATCTTCTTTTGTTTTGTTTCTCTGTCCTCACAAACACAAACACAGGTATTCTGTGTTGTTTGGTGATTTTTTTGATAATCATGTGTTTAGAGATATGAAGTTGGTTTTGGTTATTTTGCAGTAATGGGTAATGTTAGTGGTAGGAAAGATGAAGCTGGACCCTCTGGAACCAAAGATGAAGAAGAGGGTGAAGAGTACATGGAGTATGCACATGGTGGGGCGCAAGGTAGCTATCATGGGCAGGCTCAGTTTTCAGATTCTATGGTTCAGTCCCCTTCTCATAGCCCTCGGGCTTACCGGTCACCACTGATGTTCACTCCACAGGTCAGATTTAGAATCTTTGTGTGTTAGTTTATGCTAATATTTGAGCATTCTCAAGGTTTATTTTTTTTCCTGTGGTTCTAGATAAATGAGTGGTCTATCCTTGGGATTATTTACAAGTGTTATAAGAATCCCTTCTCACTAGTTTAATGGATTCCTTTTCTCAAGCATATTTGTCTTCCTATTTGTTTGATAATTTGTCTTGGAAAAGAAAATTAGGGAGGTTAGGTGTGATGGAGTATTGTTTCTCATTCACCGATTGGATTTAAAAACAGATATATTTGAAGTTTGGGAGGACAGTCTCCTGAATTGATATAGTGTTTGTTGCTCTAGAGGAGAAAAAAAAGACTCCTTTGGGAAATTAGTTTCACTGCTGACGGCACCGTGAGATACAATTGAGGTTCAATTGTACCTGTAAGGTTGCTTGCTTTGAGAGGCCATGTCCTCTAGTGTAATCTGGAAAGTTCCCGCTAGTTCATTTCGAAACCATTATTGTTGATACCCTCTAGGCTCACGTATGTATAGTTTATTCAGGTCCCTATGATTCCTCTGCATAGACCTGAGGAGATGATGCAAATCCAAAGGGATGGATGGAATCAAAAGACGACAGAGCATGAAAGTATGCTCTCTGAGAAGGTAATTCCCACAATGATCACCTGGAATTATGGTGGCAAGCAAGTAGCTGTTGAGGGATCATGGGATAACTGGAAGACAAAGTATGATATTTGCTCGAGTTTCTAGTTTCTTATTGTGAACTGTGTTTGCTTTCCACACTAATCTTCTTAGATTGCTTTCACTCAGAGAGTTCTTACAGAGATCGGGCAGAGAATTCATCATTATGAAAGTGCTCCCATCAGGTGTTTACCATTACCGGTTTATTGTTGATGGACATTGGAGGTATGCTCCAGACTTGCCTCAAGAGCATGATGATACAGGGAATATTGTCAACATTTTAGACTTGCAGGTATATTTCATTCCCTTTATTCCACTACTGCTCATACCCAAAATGAGTTACTTTTCTTGTAGAATATTTTTTTGGTGGATGCTTTTCTATCTCTCTCCTTGTTAGTAAAATTTTGGAATGATGCAGAGTTCAAACTTGGCCATAATTAATATGCAGGATGGATGCCTGTCCATGAATTGGCTTTATTTCATACATCGATGCATAGGGATTCACATTGATCTAGAATAAGTCCACATTACTGGCACGGCTGCATTCATATTGGCTGATATGAACATATTTTCATGAATGTTCCTTATTACCCGTGCACTTTCTGTTAAAGCAACTACAATTAGCTTGAAACTATATAAATGGGTCGAATTAAGGTTTCCCATGCATTTAACATGAATGCATCATTGGTTACCCCTGCATTACTGTGGAAAGACTGAGATAATAACTCCTGCATTCCCAAATGCAGCACTGGTGTTAGGACCAACTTGAAAGTTTGCAACCTATGTGTAGCCAAAAAATCCTGTGTTAGTTGTAGTCTCTACCTTATGGTAAAGAAGGAGATGATGCTGATCATTGCTGCTCTCAGTTATTTATTCAGACAAAGAGAATTCCCTGTATGCAACTTTTCAGTTAGTGTTGTAGCATTTTCTTGTGAAAAACGAAAATAGATCATTTCCAAATTCGAAACTTATTCTTAAGCATCTCATAATCCAGCAGCTATACTTATCTGTTGCAGAACCATGATCTATTCTGTGCTTAGAAGCTGAATCATATGCTCCCATTTACTAGCACTATATAGTTTTTTGAAGCTCCTGCTTTTAGGCACATAAATCTAACATATCTATATATGGACCTATTACTCAGATGCTTGTATTCTTCTTAGAGCCTTACGTCATGATTAGTGTTATTCAAGGCATAAAGTGAAGGAGATGCTCAGATCTCCTAAGGCCTGACCGAGGGGAGAGGCGAGGCAAACAATATAGAAACCAAGCAAGCATTTTATTGTTAACTTCTCAAATATTTAGGCTGCGTTTAGCGTAATTTCTCAAAAATGAAAGTTCATCTAAAAAATGGATTTTTTAAAATGCACTTTACAAAAAGGACTTTTTACAAATATAAGATGTTTGGTGAGAACATATTTTTGAAGTGCTTTTGAGTTAAGAAGTGAATCCAAATATATAAATAATGTTTGGTGGGAAAGTTTCTAAAGTGAATATATATATAGTAGTTATAAATCGTGTTGAAGATACAATAGAATATAAAATTTGAACCCCCAAAAAATCGATCTCACTATATTAAATAATAATTTTTTTTCCTTCATTTATTTGATTACATTATTCAAAATTTATTTTTACCCATTATTTTCTCAAAATACGTAATTCAATAAAATTTTCTCAACATGTGTATACTATTGTACATGGATAATGTCTAAAATAAAAATTATGTTAAATTATAAATTAATCAAATGTTAAATAATTGAACATGTGATAAAAATGAGTGATGTGATGATTTTGGGAGAAAAAATGTGTAGGAGATAAAATTCAACTTCTTATGTGTTTTATATATATATATATATATATATATATATATTACAATATCACCCTTGATATGATGCTTAAAATTGACCAATCTAAATGATTACTATCACATGAAATCTATCAAAAGCCCATTTGGAAGTGTAGCCAAACACACCCTTAATATTCAAATGCAACTCAAAATATAAACATTTAAATTTAAACAAATATCAATAATATTTCAAATCTTAATGACAAACAAAAACATTTAACATTTACACTCAAAGAGACACCAAAAATTTTCGAGATCCTAAAATTGTAAATACACAAGTCAAATTGTTAAAGCAACGAAACATATACTGAATGCTTCCACCAAGCTTGAGGGCTTAGAAGTCATCCTCATCACCATGCAAATTATTTTTTTCATTGTCATTAGATTTATATCTCTACACACCCTCCTCTGCATAATTATTTTTTTTTGAAGGAGGAGGAGGGTGGAATGGAACTTGAACCCTTAATCTCAAAAAAGTAAAGCCTTTACATGACAAAGAATACCATTAGACCAAATGTCAATTGCTTCATCTAAAACTACATTTTCCTTACATATGATATGAGTGAAGTGTAGTCGATGATCTTGAAACCCTTAGTGTTGCACTAGAATTTGGTATTGATATGGTTCGTTGGCTACCTTCTCAACTCCAGAAGCTCAAGAAACATCACCCCAATTGAGCATATCTAAATTGCCCTATGTTGTGATCGTGCAACAATTATGGTGAATAATAAGGAATCAAACAATTAAGAAAGAAAATAACACAGAGATTTACGTGATTCGGCAATGTGGCTACATCTACAGGAGCGAGCGGCCGTTCCTTTTCATTATTCAAAGTAGGGTTACATCTTAAGTATTTATATAACTCTAGTACGGACGTATTTACAAAATACCACTGTACCGTACCGCAGGGACGTTGCCCCCGCACCCCCAACTAATCAGCGTCCCCCCATACATAAAATATATCAATCCCACTCCGGCATCTGCCTCCTTGCCATTGTGCACACAGCAAATATGAGCTGCACATACTCTAACACCCTAAATATATCAACAAAGCGAAAAAATTAAAAAAAAAGAAAGTGTTTGCCTCATTGCTTGAAGATTAATCTTGAGGCACTTATTTTTAGTGCCTAAGCTTCATGTCGGCAAAAATTCCCTTCCTTAGACCACTTGAGGTGAGCACCTAGGCACACTTTTGATGACACTGTTCATTACTTTCTTACAATTGAACATTACTCTTTTGGTTGTAAATGTCTTAATACCTCATTGCTTTGCTACTTGTCAAACTTAGATAGGTTTAAAATCACAACTTCAAAAATTCTTTCTGCAATATCTTGAAAACTAAATCCAGAAACTAATGTTAGCAATCTTGTATATCACAAGAGTCCTCATTCGCATATTCCCTCATCTATTATTTTTGGTATGATGATCAATTTTACTTCAGATTAAGGAGCACAGAGGCATTCTATATATTTCACAGGAAGCCATGGAGAAAATATGTGTAGATGAAATGTCTGCACCTTGTGAAGAGCCTTGCATCTGCCACTTCAAGTTTAAACATTCTTGCATAATATTGATAGATGTCTTTTAAGTATAGGCATTAAAAGAAAAACAGCCTTTCTAATGGTTCCTGCAGTCTTCCATCTTCTCACTTTGCTGACTTTGCAAAATCAATTCGTACAGTCAGCTATTGAACATTCCTTAAGTGTATTCATCAGTTTTTCGTTTCATGGGTTAAAAGGATTCCTAGCAATTTAATTTTGACAGGGTTATCCATAGTCGGTAAAAATTTTAGTCAGTTTCATATGATGTCCTTCTTGTTGCCTTTTGTGTTGAATACCTCGATACCTACTGAGGAATTGACTTATGATTCGCAGGATCATGTTCCAGATGCCCTTAACAACGTTTCTGAGTCTGAATCTCCTCCTTCCCCTATATCGAGCTATAACAGTGAACCTCTAGGTTTGGAAGATTTTAATGAAAAGTTTTTACCTGAATTGCCTCCACTACTTCAACAGACACCGCTAGATCAGCCCTCATCCTCCAAGAACAGCACTGGATCTTTGGAGAAGCCGTTGTCTGCAGTTTTGAACCATCTATACATCCAGAAAGGGCGTAGTGGTCAGCCTATGGTGACGCTAAGTTCAACACAACGATTTCGCACAAAATATGTGACAGTAGTTCTTTACAAATCCTTGGCAAAGGTTAAAAAGTGAAAAGCCTTCCTGAATTCCTGGATTTGGAAATATACATTATGAAGATTGCACCCCAGTTGCTTTCATAGGTTAGGAAAATGGTTTAAATATGCAAAGGTAGGATTTTTGCCATAAAAACATGTATCGGGTTTCTATTCATTTTGGATATGATAATTTACTTGTGTATTGGGGATATTTCATTCTCCTTCTCTTCATGAACAGAAATGAAATTTCAACATGGAGATTCTGATTGGTAGCATAGTGTCGCTTATGGCACATTACAAACGGGCAAAATGCAAAATTAAAGACGTACATATATTTTTGGGTAATTCCCACATGGCCGTACACACTTATGTCTTCTCTGTTAGTTGTGTACCTGTACATATCTCTCTCTTTGTCTGCGTGTGTATATTCGGGTGGTCAGGTACAACCCAAGCTCGACAGGATTGGCTTTTCATACATGGTAGGCCAAAATATTTTGCAAAGGCTTGGTTTGACATGCCTACAAGTCATTGCTGGGACAAAAGGAAGATATGCCATTCAAATCTGGGATTATGTTGATCAATATTTTATGTCAAGTTTGTTCCAACAAGTAACTGCTGAATGGTCTACCCGGTCTGGTTCAGGTCGAGCAATAGAAGCTTGTTTTTATACATTGTGAGGCTCAGCTAGGCTGATTTCAGGACTCCCCTTAAGCTGGATTAATTGTCAATTTGTCATTCTTAAGTCATGAAATATTAGAATTGTTCCATAAATATTGAATGCATATGTGGCTGAAACATTAAATTTAGCATGCCACCAGGAGGAATTGGAAAATCAGCAAGTCATGGCGTCTAAAATGTCATTGCATGGTTTTATATCACCAAATTTATAACAGGTTAGCTTTTCAATGACATCTCTAGTGCAAAATGGTAAACACCGACACTGCCATTGCTGTTTTAATCCCATGGTGGCAATTGCTTTCATGCAAAAGCATGGTTCGGTTTGATATTAAGAACTTTGAAGACCACAATCATAAACAAATAATGAAAAGAAACTGTGGCAAATTGAAAGTGTTGTCTAGAACTTTTTATAGGCTTTGTGGCCAATCGATTTTCCAAAATGCATACCAAAACCAGATTTGGTAATTGTGCATTAGTGAGAGTAGTAGTATCAATTCTCAGGCAATTTTGATAAGCTGGTTGTCGGTATTTTCATACAGGCAAAGAGAATTTGTGCTTTAGGTGAATGTCAAGTTGCTTATAGATTGAACCTTCTTTTTTTTCAGTTAAATATCGTGTTAGCAAGTCGTGTCTTATAGATCAAACCTTTGCATCCAAATAATCAAATGGCATCCCAATTGATGGATCAAACAGTCCAATAATCAGTTTGACTTGATGAGTTAGACACCTGATGCTTAATACCATAATATGGAAACAATTTTCCAAGTATGAAACATTCTATCTAAACGTTCTGTGGAAATCTGCTTAACTGTGGAGATATCTAAGTAGATGGAGCCTTTCATGCCTGATTTTCCTCCTTTCAGTTTTTCCTTGAACAAGGCGAAGGTCTACTGTGCAATTTCTGCCATCCACTGACAAATAAAGTGGTAAAACTGAAATGTGAACAACTGATAAATGAGCATTCAAAACAATTGTTTATAGCCACCATCTTTGCTTGGATTGAGAAGGTTAGAAAACATATCAGAGTAGCCATTCATATCATGCTGCCTTTGTTCTTGTTGCAATCACAATCATTTCATCGAACAGGCACCTTGATCCAACCATTTGCAAAAGCAATCGCCAAGATTACAAAGGGGGTTGACATACCAAATATGATAATGTAAGGAAGGGGTGTCATCATCGGATTCTCCCCCGCCCTTTCGCCAGCTGTCTGCCAATACCTGCACTTGGTAGATGGTTTTGCCTGAGGATGACTACATGGATCTATGAAATTTGTGCTGTTGTTTACTTGTTTCAGTAAAGATCCTCTAACTTACATTTTATTATGAGTTTCCATGTTATTATATCTCATTATCTAAGGATTGAAACAGTTTTTTACTTTAGAAAGCAACAAGGGTACTTGGGAAATGTTAACTAACCAATGCATAAGCAAAGTAAGAAATGAGCGCCGAAAGGTTTACTGTTCTGGTTCTTCTTCTTTAGTGATGAATTTCTTCTTCCCTCCCTGCTTGACTTCTCCTTCTCCTCCCCCTGACAACAACAGATTATCATTTCAGCCACCCAAAAATCAAACAAAAGATATTGAAGTTTTTTGCATGTACACATGTGGGTGTGAAGAAAGAAGAGACAATTTGGACATGGTAAATGAAACATAAGGGTTTTCCCAAACCTGATTTTGCCCAAATGTTTGAATGATTTGCCCTTTTCTTTGGTGCACAAAAAGTGGGAGGTGGTGGAGATGGAGATGAGAGCTTGGTTGGGAGTGGAAGCTTGGAGCTGAAGGAAGAAGAGGGAGCCACTTTGGTTGCCATTTCTCAAATGAAGTATCTGGTATCTCTGCACATGATACCTTGTCCATCACATATATCTTGTCAGTTGTGGATGTGGTTATTGTGGCACTGATATCTACCATTTTTTCATTTTGCCGTGGGGCACTTATTTCTACTGTCCTTTAGACTAGCCTTATCCTACCAATAACATATGACCAATTTGCTCAACTGGCCCATCTGTCCTTGAGATATATGAGAAATTGTGGTATCGTATTCTAATTTAGCCATAAAAAAGAAGGGATCAGCCCAATGAATTAAGAGGAACTCACGTCATGAAAGATGAAGGAGAAGCCTAAGGAGGAGCCTAAATCATTAAGAAAGAGTTAAGGGGCGCCACTCAAGGGGTCACTCAAGAGGGCGACTTCTAGATGTTGGTCCTGTGCCTCTCCTTCACCCTCTTCTCTTTGCCATTTTGACTAAAGTTCAATTTCGGAATCAAATCCAACCCAGCTCAGAGTCCCCCTCTGATGGAACAGGGACACGAGAGAGAAAACATTGGGATACAAAAGATCTATTCCTACCTTAACAATGCTTACCAAAGAGGTCCACTCTTATCATAATTATACTTACCAAAGTGGTGGAAGACTCCTTCACTGTCTCACCGCCTTACCCTACTTATATAATGTAAGTTCTCTCCACATAGAGAAGATGATGATGATCACCTCCTTGAAACCTCTACACCTTGAGCTCTCTACACATTACACCTCTCTACAGACATCTCTCTTTCAAAAGCACTGTAACTCCCCGGAGACCATGATTCATTAATAAAGAACACTATTCATTAATAAAGAACACTAGACTACCGTTGCCGTTTTCGAGAGTGGAGTAGGTCATCCGGACCGAATCACTATAAATCCTTATGTTGATCTATTATTTACTGTTTTACTCTTAATTGTCATTGATTGCTTGTTTGTCGTTCATTAATTACACCCTTAGACATAATTGACTGTTGATCTTGTACGAAGATAATTTTATGCATAATAAAAATGCACGAGGTTTAATTTTATCTTGCTTGAAAATCAGAGGGTTTCTATTTTCTGTACTGTGAAGCTATGGTGTCAGAGAGGGGGACGCCTTTAAAAAGATTTTTCTATTTGTGGTTTGAATCTATGGCTTCAAATAAGAAATCTCGGATTAGATATGCAGCTTTGCGCCGTTTTCTGTCTCTGGCTTTGATAACTATACTGGGGGTAGTTTTGGTGGGTTTTCTCCTTAGATCGAATTCAATTCCCATTCCAGTTAACCAAAATTGGAATGAGATTGATGAAAGTTTTGAAGTGACTTGAAATTACTCAGAATTTTTATGAAGACTTAACCTTTCCAAACAGAGTAAGGTATCAATTCTATTAGAAAAACGAAACCAGCTTCCCCCAAGTAACTTAGATTTACATCCAAATCTAGCCAAGATCATATAGTTGTCGTTCTGTATGTTCACAATCGGCCCCAATATCTCAAAGTAGTTGTTGATAGCCATTCTCAAGTGGTGGGGATTAATGAAACTCTACTCATTGTTAGCCATGATGGGTATTTTGAAGAGATGAACAAGATTGTGGAAGGTATTAAATTCTGCCAAGTGAAACAAATTTTTACCCCTTACTCACCCCATGTCTTTCCCAATAGCTTTCCTGGTGTCTCGCCAACAGATTGCACGGATAAGGATGACCTACTCAAGAATCGTTGTCAAGGAACTCCAGATCAATGTGGAAACCACCGGTTGCCAAAAATTGTGTCGTTGAAGCATCACTGGTGGTGGATGATGAACACCGTGTGGGATGGGTTAAAGGAGACTCGTGTGCACTTGGGTCATATTCTTTTCATAGAGGAGGACCACTTCATTTTTCCCAATGCCTACCGCAATTTGCAGTTACTTACTCAATTGAAACTGCATAAATGTCCTGATTGCTATGCCGCAAATCTGGCACCATTTGATGTGAAGTCAAGGGGAGAGGGGTGGGAGAGTTTGATTACAGAGAGAATGAGTAATGTAGGTTATGCATTTAATTGGACTGTGTGGAGGAAGATACATAACAAGGCAAGAGAATTTTGTTTCTTTGATGATTACAACTGGGATATAACAATGTGGGCAACTGTTTATCCTTCATTTGGAGGTCCTGTGTACACGCTACGAGGGCCAAGGACAAGTGCTGTTCACTTTGGCAAATGTGGTTTGCATCAGGGGCAGGGGGAGAAAGATGCTTGTTTGATAATGGTGTGGCGAAGGTTGAAGTAGAGGATATAGATAAGGTTGCCAACATCAAATCAGACTGAGTACATGTGCATAAGAACCAAGCAGGATATCAAGCAGGGTTTAGGGGTTGGGGTGGCTGGGGAGATAGAAGAGACAACCAATTGTGTTTGGAATTTGCTAACATGTATCACTCGAGTTGACAGGCGCAGCTCCTTTCTGGGGAGTTTTCGACATGTGAGTTTCCCAATCAGCATAACCAGCAAGGTCTGATTTCTTGATCGAATTGCTTAATGAATAAATGAAAGCACATGTTGTAGTTTCATATATATAATATGTTATGGCATACTAGGGGTGGTCCCATTATTTTTAATTTCACACTATTAACTGAATGAAATCACTTCTTTGCTTTGCTATTTCAGAGAATTTTTAGTAGCCTGTTCTTTTTTTAAGCCTTTCGTAGTTTGTATCTTGTTGAATGGGTTGTTGGTCTTTGATCTCCACAATTTTAGCAAATGGATGCTTCTGCTTGCTTGTGACTGAAATTCTTTTACACTAATATGGGTGGAAAAGAAATTAAGGGTGATCCTTTGGGGAACCATTTCTTCTGGAAACCATTTTTTACCTTTCTCAACTGAAGTTACGGAAACTAAAAAACTGAAGTTCGAAAAACTGTTTTCTCTCCTCTCATCAGCACTAAATCTTGTAATCACAACACATAAGGTGGCATAAAGGATTAACAGAAATTTAGGAAATTGCACAGTCTCTATAGATATGTTGTTGATATAGCTCTAAATTTTAATGGAGGAGACTGTGTGTTTATTTGTTGGGAAATAGGTTGTATAATACGATTGCAGAAGTTAAGAAAAATTGAAACTGCTACATGAGGACTAAATAAACGGGGTAAAGAGAAGTAAGAATAACGTGGTATCATATTTGAAAATCATTTTACGAAATTTGGGGTGTTAAGTTAATGTCATCTTACTTAAATTGCTAATGATTTTTCAGTGTTTACGCTCTTGAGGGTATGAACTATGACTGCATGCATAATCTGTAAGCTATAGATATGGGAACTAGCTGGTTCATCTATTGTCTATGCCCTCGTAAGAACTGAATGCAAAAGCATGGGTGTTGCAGACGAGAGAGAGATAGAACATTGGGTCCCTTGAGTGTAGGAACGAACACTATTGCATTTGGATTTGACTCATTTGAGTAACTTATGGCGCTTTACAAGAGTTTTTTTTTTAATGTAAAGTTCGTTGAATATGACACTTAGCTGTGCTAATGGGGGAGTTGCGGCTTCTGGTTTCCATTCAAGCCAACACAGTTGTGGTCTTTTTTATTGGGGCTGTAAGAAAGAGAGTACTGGAGAAAGAGTAAAATGCTTCTGCTGTATCTCATATAACAATCCTGTGATGGCATTTCATTGGGAGTCTGAGAGGTAATCTGTTATAGGCGATAGTATACAAGTGCGGAAGAAATTTATCTTTTTCGCTTTAATTCGAAGTCTTTTGAGGATGTTCCATGTACTTTTAGAAATTCAATATTAATGTCTTTTTTTACTTGGTCTACCGATACAGTATTGCATGAGATGAATCTATACCGAATTTTTTACAGTACAAAAAGATTCTTCAACCCTCTTGAAAGAGAGAAGGTAGGAGAGTGTTTTACTTTAGATGAATTATCAATCTTCTATTGAGATGTCTAAAAGAGACATCCTTTTAAGGAAAATGTTAACTTTATCTAACATATCTTTTGAGTGCTAAAGGGCAACTCCAGAAGTCATGCCTACTGAGCGTTCTTCAATTGGGTCGACTCACCATGAGTGCACCGTATGGGTCCAATATTTTTAATTATGGAAATGTGCAATTTGTACTAAGATGCAATAATGGCAATGAACCAAAGAGTTATCCGATCTCCTCATTCTTTTAAATCATCTATTCATCACACCCATTAAACTCTTTAGTATAAATTAATAAGGACACTTTATCTTATACACATATTACTAACGGCTAGGTTTATCGAAAATGACTTAAAATTAATATGCTTAACTCTTCATCATCATCTTCTCCAATTAAGAACTCATTCAACCTCAAATTTCAATGAATTTTATCTTCACACTAAAAGGGGTAGCAATAATCTTATTGAATTGTCTTTTTCTTCATAAATGAAAACAGTTGGTTTGTATTAGTATTGATTATTGTTATTTTCAACTCATTGAATATATTAAAAAGGTAAAGCAAGGATTTTTCACCCAAAAAAAAAAGAAAAAGATTTTTCGCAAAGGCTTTGTGGTATTTTCCCAAAGTTTTAATCGGCAATCACTTGGAGGCCTATTGGACTCTCATGATTGATAATTGAGTCAAATTTCATGAATTTAAATTAAATTTATCAAAATTATTTTTTTATACGAGATTAAAATATTTTTCAAACTCAGTTCAATTGAATTTGAATCGAACCTGAATTAAACTGGTCTCGAATTGAGTCGTTCATATTTTAAAAAGTTATTTAAGTTCTACTATTTTGAAACAGTCCGACTTGATTGTCGGCCCTCCTCCCATGGTCCAATTCAAACAGAAATCACAGGGAAAGGTGTTCTTCTGTAAACTAAAAGGCGCCAAGGAAACATGAAGCAGAAGCCCCCTACCTCAACACTAGAATGTTTCGCTGGTACCTCCAATCCACACACAGACGAATCTCCAGCAATCCAATACCAAATTTCAGTACCTTCACATCATCGATAGTTCCCTCACAATACGCATTCTTTATCAACCCAAAAAAAACCAAATCATCTAGTAGGTCTCCCATTATCCCCACACTTAAACCATTTACAAAACTTTGATCACTACGAAATAAACCAAACCCATTTCAAAACCCAACAACCTTTCTCACCATGTTTACCAGAAAAACCTGTCACTTTTTCACCACCCTCGTTTTCGGAAAAGTACAATTTTCTTGTTGAGAAATATCAGTTTTCTTGTGGTTGCAATGATCCTACACAGCTACATTTACAAAATATTAAAAATGGATTTGCAAAAGATCTGTTCTTGTCGAATACCCTTATTAACGTTTATTTTAGAATTGGTGATTTGATTTCTGCACATAATTTGTTTGATGAAATGCCCGATAAAAATTTGGTTACGTGGGCTTGTATGATTTCGGGGTATACCCAGAATGAAATGCCTGGTGATGCGTGTTTAATTTTTCGAGAAATGGTCAGTGAGGGATTTATTCCGAACCATTATGCCATTGGAAGTGTTTTACGAGCTTGCCAGGTTATAGGGTCTTGTGGGAGTAGACTTGGATTGCAAATTCATGGGTTTATTTCAAAAACCCGATATGCATTTGATGTAGTAGTGTGTAACGTGTTGATTTCGATGTATGGCAGTTGTCTAAATTCTGCTGCTTGCGCTTGGCGTGTTTTTGATGGGATTCAGATTAAGAATTCCATATCCTGGAATTCAATTATTTCCATCTATGCTCAAAGAGGTGATGCAATTTCTTCTTTTGAGCTCTTCTCTAGCATGCAACAGGAGGGTTTGGCATCTAGTTTTAAACCTAGTGAATATACTTTTGGCAGCTTAATTACTGCAGCAGCTGCTTCTGTTGATTGCGGTTTGTTTTTGCTTGAGCAGTTGCTGGCTAAAATTCAGAAGTCCGGATTCCTGCAAGACCTATATGTGGCTAGTGCTTTTGTTAGTGGGTTTGCAAGGTTTGGATTGTTGGACACTGCTAAGATGATTTTTGGGCACATGGGTGTGAGGAATGTGGTGTCCATGAATGGGTTGATGGCTGGATTGGTGAAGCAAAAGTGGGGAGAAGAAGCAACTAAGGTCTTCATGGAGATGAAAGACTTGGTTAGTATAAATTCTGATTCCTATGTGGTTCTTTTGAGTGCTTTTGCTGAATTCTCTTGTTTGGAAGAAGGGAGAAGGAAAGGTAAAGAGGTTCATGCATGTGTCATCAGAACTGGCTCAAGTGAATCTAAGATTGCAGTTGGAAATGGTCTAATTAACATGTATGCCAAGTGTGGTAAGATTAATGATGCTTGTTCTGTTTTCAGACTTATGGTCAATAAAGATTTGGTTTCATGGAACTCCATTATCTCTGGTCTAGACCACAATGAGTGTTTTGGAGATGCTTTAATGAGCTTCTGCACAATGAGAAGCACTGGACTCATGCCTTCAAATTTCACATTGATTAGTGCTTTGAGTTCATGTGGGAGCTTGGGTTGGATGAGGATGGGAGGACAATTACATTGTGAAGCGCTTAAAGTGGGACTTGATATGGATGTTTCAGTTTCAAATGCTCTTCTTGCTCAATATGCAGAGACTGGATGTATCACTGAAAGCAAGAAAGTGTTTTCCTTGATGCCTGAATATGATCAAGTTTCTTGGAATTCTATTATTGGGGCATTTAGTAATTCTGAGACATCCATTTCCGAAGCTGTAGGACATTTCATAGAGATGATGCGATCTGGATGGAGTCTTAACAAAGTGACCTTTATAAATATTCTTGCAGCAGTGTCATCTCTTTCTCGTCTCGAGCTGGTTCATCAAATCCATGCTCTAGTCCTAAAATACAGTGTTATGGAAGATTGTGCTATTGAGAATGCGCTTCTCTGTTGCTATGGGAAGTGTGGAGAGATGAATAACTGTGGAACTATCTTTTCTAGAATGTCTGATAGGAGGGATGATGTAAGTTGGAATTCCATGATTTCTGGATACATCCATAATGAGCTTTTACCTAAGGCCATGGATTTGGTCTGGCTTATGTTGCAGAACGGTCAAAGATTAGACTGCTTCACCTTTGCCACTGTTCTTAGTGCATGTGCCTCAGTTGCAACACTAGAGCGTGGCATGGAAGTTCATGCTTCTGGGATTAGAGCTTGTCTGCAATCTGATGTTGTGGTTGGGAGTGCGCTCGTTGACATGTACTCCAAATGTGGAAGAATAGATTATGCTTTGAGATTTTTTGGGTTAATGCCTGTGAGGAATGTCTATTCTTGGAATTCAATGATATCTGGCTATGCTCGACATGGACATGGAGACAAAGCTCTGGAGCTTTTTTCAAAAATGAAGTTAGAAGGTCAACCACCAGATCACGTCACCTTCGTTGGTATCTTATCAGCTTGTAGCCATGTGGGGTTGGTTGATCAAGGGTTTGACCATTTCGAATCTATGAGCAAAGTGTATGGCCTGAATCCTCGGATGGAGCACTTTTCATGTATGGTGGATCTGTTTGGCCGGGCAGGTGAACTTGATAAGATAGAGGACTTTATCAATAGAATGCCCATGAGGCCTAATGGTTTTATTTGGAGGACAGTTCTAGGGGCTTGCAGTCGAGCAAATGGTCGCAAGACCAATTTAGGTAGAAGGGCTGCAGAAATGCTTTTGGAGTTGGAACCTCAAAATGCAACGAACTATGTGCTTATGGCTAATATGTATGCCTCGGGTGGGATGTGGGAAGATGTGGCGAAGTCCCGAGCTGCAATGAGGGAAGCAGCAGTGAAGAAGGAAGCTGGATGTAGCTGGGTCACCATGAAAGACAGTGTCCACGTTTTTGTTGCTGGAGACAAATCACATCCAGATAACGATGCAATATATGAAAAGCTTGGGGAATTGCACAAAAAAATGAGGGACGCTGGATATATACCCCAAGTAAAATTCGCTCTGTATGATCTTGAACTGGAGAACAAGGAAGAACTCCTGAGCTATCACAGTGAGAAACTTGCAATTGCTTTCGTTCTCACTCGCAAATCAGAATTGCCTATAAGGATAATGAAAAACCTTCGAGTTTGTGGGGACTGTCATTCTGCCTTTAAGTACATATCACAGATTGTTGGTCGGCAAATACTATTACGTGACTCAAACAGATTCCATCACTTTCGTGATGGTATGTGTTCATGCAAGGATTACTGGTGATTGAACAGGCATCGCCATTAGGATGGCATCATGCATGGAAAGATAAGAAATATGGTTTACGTCATTTGGGAGACAAAACAGAGACACACTAGTTAGGCCTAGAGGATGTATAAAAGTAAAGTTGAGGCAGGCTTCCTATTGCATGCACGAGCATTCATGCTACTGTCACTCAAAATGGTTCTAGTGATGCCTGGATCAAGGACTGTAAAGCTCTCATCAGCAAGTACTGAGATTGTCGAATTACTTGCAGTGTCAAGGCGCGACATTACTCCCAGTACTGACTGTCTGGCCCCTCCAGAACATTGAGTTACTTCTGGAGTGACCATAATCAGGGCCCCTTGGACACAGCTCACCAACCTTTTTAAGTAGTGATCTCCAGGGAGGGCTTTCCCTACAGGGTCTCCACTTTCTTTGTTACGGGACATTTTTCTACTGATGTACAGTGAATACTCGCCATTGATGGGGAAGACCATGCCATGGACTTGACGATTTGATGATACAAGCTAAAGAAGCTGAGCCCCAGCATTCCTGAAATGAAACTACTTTTTGCACTGATTTAAAGTCTGTCAGAAATAAATTTGATTTGTTTAAAACACTGTAGCAGCCAGACTCGGGTTTTTAGACCCATTCCCCAGCTGACCATGGGTTGACTTAAAGAACCATGCGATATGTCAAAAAATGGTTATAAACTCTTCGGCTTGTTTGGATGAATTTTGGGAAGGGATTGGATTGGTTTCTCTAAATCCTTTCAAACTTAAACTCTTCTTTACAAATATAAGATTTAACATTTAATCTGATTCATACTCATATATCGTATGTAATACATACACATGTAGGATCCATGAATATATCATAATTATTAACAACTATTTGTCCTATAAATAACTATTTTATCTTTGATTAATCAAATTCATACCTATATGAAGGGGTACAATTGTCTTTTAGATCTTTAACCTTTTATTCATCTTTTCAAACCCACATTTTCTTAGGTTTGACGAAATTTCGGATTTGAAAATCTGGAACTGAATTTTTTATACAAATATAAAATTTATAGAATTTGGGAGAGTTTTAGACTATTTTTCTCAAACTCATCTTGCAAGCTCTCTATACCCTATTTACAAAACAACCCCTTGGACTTTTCAACTAAGGCTATAATTTTTGAGACGATGAGATAATACGACACAAAATTAGTATATTAGACTTGACCAATTCTTGATATAAACCTAAAAATAACATGATCTACTAAAACAAATCAAGTTAGTGTCGAACCAAATTTTATACAATATACACGTTTAACATGTATAATATAAATAAAATGACTAATTTTGTATTTTTGTCATGTTTCACATGAATTATTGTAAATGAGGGTATTCTTTTTGCTTGCTTTTGTTATTATATAGATTTAAATAGATTTTTAATCTGCAAAAAAAATTATGAATGATATGTTTGGGTGAGAATTAATGGGATTTTAGTGTTAGATTTTTAATTTAAGAGTTAGGATAACTCGAACACAATATAATAATAAATAGGTTGAATTAGCATCAAGAACTCTGATATAAAAAAATTTAAATTTAAAAATAATCACTACTCGATATAACCAAATATAAAACGATTTAACTACGATTGGATTGTTAGCCCAATTTTTAGCCACTGGTAAATCTAATAGCCCACTTTCAACGGAAAGATTAAAGGCCCAACAGACATGTGGCCCAAACATTGACTTCCCTCAAGGCACTTAATTGAACAGAAAAATTAGCACAGAAGAAATGGAGAACACAATGCGCGAGGAAGAAAAGAAGATATGAAAAAGGGTTCTTCCAAACCTAGGGTCTATGATTTAACTCCAAGGCTGCAACTTTCTCTTTAGGGTATGTGATTTTCAAATTACTTTTAAAGATCTGTTCGTTTGGCTCAAATCTGCTCTAGTTGTGTTAGAA